TTTTTTTCCCCCGCCCTCATAGTCTTTTCCTCAAATCTTACTGCTCTATTTCCCGCAATTGTACTTAGCTTTACTCTCCCTGTTTCCTTATAAACTATATAGTCCGGCGTACAGGAGTCGAGGTTAAGGGTCCGCTTTACATACTTTTTATGTATTTTTTCCAATTTTTCTCTTTCTCTCCATCCCCAAATCTCTGCCCCATACATTATAACTCCAAGCACTAAATATTTAAATAATATCATCCTTCTCCTAAAGTCATCCCTGAACCTACGTTTCCCCAACCCCCATACCTGTCTCATCACTATATTTGCTTTCTTCTTTACGCTCTTAATCTGTCCACCGTTGCTTTCATTCCTCCTCAGCTCGTATCTTAAATACTTGTATTCCCTGACTTCTTCCAATCTCTTTCCTTCCCATTCCCATCCCACCTCCTTTCCTCTGCCTCCTCCTCTTCGAAAGCACGTAATCTTTGACTTCTCGGTGTTCAACTGCAGTTTTTTTTTCTTAGATACCTCTCCAGTCTTTTTATCATCTTCTTCATTCCATCCACACTTTTTGCCAGCAACACCAGATCATCTGCATAAGCTAGCGTCCATATTCTTTCTGTTCCAACCCTTATGCCGCCCGCCTATCCTGTCCTCATCTCCTCCTCCACATTTGCGATCATTATCAAAAACAGTAGCGGACTCAGAGGGCACCCCTGCCTTACTCCTTTCTCCGTCCAGAACTAGTTGGAGATTTTTCCGCCCACTCTAACTGCATCCTTCGTAAATTTCCTTGATCTTTTCTATTATCCCTTTTCTTATTCCTCTTTTCTCCATTGTTTCTTATAAAATATTTCTATCCACTCTGTCGAAGGCCGCCTTTAGGTCCACAAAGAACCCATATACCTTTCCTCCTTTCTTCCTCAATTCTCTCTTGACCACGTGCTGCAACACATATACGTTGTCCATCGTCCCTCTGCCCTTCCTAAACCCTGCTTGGGTTTCCGGCAGAATTTTATTTTCTTCTACCTCTTTCCTTACCCTCTTTGCTAATATCCCTGCATAGATCTTGTACGCAGTACATAACAAGAAGACTCTCCTGTAGTTTTCCACGTTTTTCGAGTCACCTTTCTTGAAAATTGGGGATATCAGCCCTACTTTTCATTCTTCCGGAAAGCCTTCTCCTCTCCACACCTTTTTCAGGATTTTCTTCAGCTTTTCCTTTATCCGTCCATCGCTGAACTTTCATGCCTCTCCTGCTATCCCATCTACTTCTGCCGCCTTTCTCCTCTTTAAGTTATTAATCTGTTCTTCAATTTCTTGATCCTGAATCTCCAGCTCTCCGTTTTCTTCCTTGCTTCTTCTTTCCACCTCCTTTCCTGTCCTCTTTACTTCCTCCCAACAGTTACATAAAATATTTCTCCCATTCCTCCATCTCTATATCTTCCTCGATGAGTACTCTTTTCTTCCTTTCCTTGTATATTATCTTCCATATTTGCTCTTCCGTTTTCGCGCTTCTCACTTCTTCCTCATATTTCTCTAGTCTTTTTTCTTCCTTCCTTCTACACATCTCCCTAAATTCTTTTCTTAGTCTCACATATTTCTCCTTTCCTTCTTTCCGCATTCTCCATCTTTTGTATGTCCTCTTCAGCCCCCTCTTCTTTTTCTTACATTTCTCATCCCACCAATCCTTCTCACCTATTTTTTTCCTCCTTATCTTGATCCTTTTCCTTACCATACTTTTTTCTACTGCCTTCTTCAAGTTTTCCCATACGTCCTCCACTTCTTCTCCCTTCATCTCTACCTCTTCTGCTTTCTCCTTATACTTCTTGATACTCTCTTCGTCCCACTGTATTACTTCTTTTGTCTTCTCTTGCGCCTCCTCCTCTAATCTTTCTAATCCTCCCATTATTTCTACCTCCAAGGGTTGGTGATCCGACTCTACCCTTTCTCCAATTGTTAGTTTGATTATCCTATCCCACGCCCCTCCATTCACCACGATGTAGTCCACCACCGATGCTTTTCTCCCTCCGGAATACGTCTATTCTCCTTTCTTATCGCCTCTCATATTACCGTTCTCTACCTCCCATCCTCTTTCCTCCATCATCTCTAAAAATTCTTTTTTCTCTGTGTTTATTACCTCGTCCTTGGAGTTTCTCCATCTTTCCCCATCGTTGCCCCCCTCATAATTCTTCCCTTCCCCCCTATTCTTGCATTCTCCATATTTTTCCTTCTACCCTTAACTTCCTCTCCTACATTCCGTTTACAGATTCTACTTCCTTAATATCTATCTTCTCTACCTCCTTTCTTATACCTGTTATTATACCTCCCTTCGCCCTACCTTTACATTTCTCTCTAATCGCGTATTGACATTTCCATACAAATTTCTTTGACATATTCCTCTTCATCTTCTCCCATTCCTTCTTTTCTACCCACGTTTCGCATAGTCCTATAATATCGAATCCTTCTATGTATTCCCGGAATTCTCTGTCCTTCTTCTTTAGCCTTGCCACATTCCAGAATATCACCTTTAGTTCTGCACTTGCATCTCCGTTTCCTTTTCCTCTCCTCTTCCTCTTCCTTTTGTCTCCCGTTGTTTCTCACACCTCTATTCCTTCTTCTCGGCCGGTTTTTGAAAATTCTCTCTTTTCCTTATTTCCTCTGCCTCCTCATTCCACACATACATCTCATTCTCTATGTACATTTTCCTATATCCTACTTTTACCTTCTTTCTTTCTACACTTTCTTTTTTTGCCCGTTTTCTCAATTTTTTTTGCACATCTCTCTCTTCTTTCGTCAGGTCATGATCAACGAATATGTTTCCACCGAACAATTTACTCTTCCGTTTCATTATTGCTTCCTTTCTCTCCCAATCCTCTATCTCTACTATTACTGCTTCCCTCCTTTCCCTGCCTACCACTTGAACACCTTTTACATTTTCTTTAATCCCAAATTCCTTCTCCAGAAATACTTTAGCCTCCTCCTTTAAGCTGTTCTCCACTTACTTCAGTCCTCTTATGATTATGTTGTTCCTTCTCTCCTTCTTCTCTCTCTCTTATCTATTATTCTTTTCAGCCTTCTCACTTCTTCCCCTATTTCGCCCATCGACTTGTCCTTATCTCCTTGTCTAAGCTCCTGTCCTTTCCTCCTGCCTATCCGTTCCGTCACTTTTTCCGTTATTTCTTCTATCTTTTCTTCTAACCTCCCTTTTCCTCCGGCTCTTTGTCTCTCTAGTTCTTTTACTCTTTCTTCTAATTCCCTTATCTTCTTTTTCATCCTTTCTTCCCTAGCTTTCCAGCTCTTCTTTAATTCCCTTATCTCATTCCTTGTGCCTGCCATCTCTTCTTTCAATTCTCTCAGTAATGCTATCATAGCTTCTTCTTCACTCTTCCTCTTTTCATCCTCTTCCGTATCTCCTCCCTTCTCTTTCATTTCCTTCTCTCCAGGTGGTGTTCTTTCCATCATATTGCTCCTTTTGAATATCTCTTCTGTCTGTCTCTCTAGCTCTTCTCTCTTCCTTTTATCATACGTAAACTCCAATATGCTAGTTGAATTCGATCTCTCTCTCCATCAATTGATCTTTCCTCGGTCCTCTTATCCTCCTCTTCTCTCTCTTTCCTCGTCTTTCTGCATGGTGTAAATCTTCTATTTTGAATGTTACACGTCGCTATATCTGTACTGCCTTGCGTTTCCCGCGCTTTCCTATCTCGTCGCCTGACAATACGCACGGACCCGCCGCGTTACATGCGGATGCCGTATGTAAAACGCATGAAATCCTCTATTTATCCCTAGCCTTTCCCCTCGTCCCTCTATTCTAACCTCTCACCTAGTCGTCTCTTTACCCTTTTGATTATAGCGTTTTCCACTGAAAAAACTGGTGCAGCACCCCCTGCTAAAAATGACCGATTGAATCCGATTAAAAATTTTGAATCCGCATGAATCTGGATTCTTGATCCGGAAATCACGGATTTATAACGATTACACCGACTGAAAACAATTGAAACGGATTGGTATTCAAGGATGTAATTTCAATCGGATTCTATCGATTTGAATTGTTATGATTTTATAACGATTTCACTGATTGAAAACGATTGAAACGGATTGGTATTCAAAGATGTAATTTCAATTGGTTCCTATCGGCTTGAATCGTTACACGCAGAAAATTTTTCTCGAAAATACAAGTATACACGAACAAAGTAAATACCACACTAATCTTGCACGGCTAGGATATCGTCATAATATGCAAAAGATTTCAAGAAAGTATAGGAAATTTAGAGAGCAAAGAATAAAAATATGGCTGATGGACAAAAAACGAGACGTCTGTTGCAGTCATGGCAAAAACATAAGTTGCTATTATAGGCTATGGCGGTCAGCTGTCCGCCACGAGCGAACTTGAAAACGCTGTAGAAACCCTGCCGAGCTGCCCTAGATATAGGGGTCGATGTTGAATCTTAATCACGCGAGAATATACCGGCGATGCGCCGCGTAGCGGGCGCGAATCGAACCCTTTCGCCGCGCGAGCCTGCGTTGCCGCTCGCGCCGCGCGCCTTCCGTCGTTAGTATAGGACTTTTTTTACTTTTCTTATATTTCCTTGTTATAATCCGAGAGGTAGCGACACAAA